ATTGTATTTACTTTTACAGATTTGTAGTAAAGTATTCTGATAAAATATATTCAAAATTATTTTTTTATATTAAATATTGTGTTTTGTGCTTACAGCAGTTGCTGTTATTAAATTCTAAAAATACCTATTATAATCATTATAAAAACTTAATTAACTTAAGCGTAATCCTATATAATTTTGATTTATTGGTTTTATTTTTAAAAGATCAGCTTAATAAAGATTACCTATTATATAACCTTTAACAAAGCTTGTGTTGTAATGCCTTTCATTTTTGTAAAAAACTATGATATATAGGTTTTTGTATTTTATATATTTATTTCCTGTATATTTTGGTAACTTATAGTATAATAGTGTAAGTTTGAAATCTGTTTAATCTATAGAAAATATAATATTATACATTTTCAAGTTTGATAAAATGTCTATCTTGAAAAAAACAGGCCATATTGTGCCTATGACAGTAAGAAGATGTTAAGTCTATAAATTTATATTAAATATTAGAAACAGGAGTTATAAAATGCTATAAACTTTTGATTTACTAAATTTGAGGCTTTATTATTAATTTCTAATATTATACAAATATTTTTTCCCCAGGTAATCACTGCTATTTTGTTTGCTATTAAACCCTAAATTGATTTATAATAATTCCCCTTATTTATAATTTGATTATTTTTCTAAAAAGGATAATAACAAATAAAATTTCCAATAAGTTTCACAATATATTTAAAAAAAAATTCCTCCCAATTCCCTACCATCTTTCTATGAGTGATCCATGAAAATCCATGAAAAATGCCTCGCAAAGTCAAAAGTGATCCACTTACGTCTGAGTATTTTGTGAGTGGCGCTCTTTGATGGCAACGCCTGCCAGAGCGATCCCATAGCGCTGATAAATAATAAAAATTAAAAATAAATTAACACCTAGTAAAGATGCATTGGACTGAGGGAAGACTGGTTTTTCTCCAACTGCGTGTCCCGCCTGCTCTGTCATTACTTGGGATGCAGGAATGGGGAGAGGGAGACCTGGTTTCGAATGTTGTGCCGGCCCGCAGACAGCTTAAAAATAGCGCAAAAGTAATTAAAAACGAAAATATAAAAGCAAGAGACACACACACACACACACACACACCCGTATCCCCACAAAACAACAGAGAGGAAAGAAAAAAAAATAAATAAAAATTATGCTCGCCTATATTGAATTTAACAAGCGCAACGCCACTGCAGCAGGCAGAGATCAAAGGAGGCAGGAGCTCTGGGATGCTGGGATGATGGGATGCTGGGGATTCCGGATGGGATGCCAATGCCGATGCCCGAAAGTGTTGCGCCCTGCCCCCGATAATGATGATGCTAATGCAGTTGACATTTTATGTGGCCATAGAATGCCGGGCATGGCCGATAATTAAATGCAATAATAATTCAATTTAATTAGCTGGCAGCTGGCTGGCTCTCTGCCTGGCTCCCTCTTTGTCGATGCTGGTGGAATAGCCCAAGGGGAGTATTTAAATATTGATGGATTGATTAGCATAATATTTGGTTTATGATTTCACATTGTTTGGGGATTTGGTTTAACGGCACACCAGCAGCTAATTGAAACACCTTAAAAGAGGTCATTAGTTATACAACATCTGTCACGGCCGATGATTATTTATACAGTGGTGTTGTTTATTTGAGAATCAAAACTAAGCGAGTTGTGTGTGTGTGATTGCCTTCTCATTATTTGATTAAATTATTGGTGGTATTGATAGATAGAGCAGACTGTGTGGAATCAATAATAAACAGAGCTCACTTGAAGTATACAAAACCGGGAAATTGTTTAAACAAAGGGATTAAAAACAAAAACGATCAGTTTAGATTGAGCGTGAGATTAGCTTTCGATTTTCTGAGCCCACTATCAGAAAGATCTTGCATCTTAAGCTCTCACTCTCTCTTTCTCTCTTCCATGCTTTCGCTGAAATGTACAAGCAATTGTAAATGAGCGAAAGAGTTTCTTTCATGTTAAACTTTGAGGGATCATAACATATTTTGATTCTTTTTTCTTTAGAATAAGGAAATTTTGTAACATTAACCTTGGTTTGCTTAAATATTTTCTTAAAAGAACTAATTTATTAATCACCTTCCCAAAATTTTTAGTTGTTGACATACTTGGCTAACAGATCCAAATTTGATGTGAGGTTTTAATAAGCCACACTCATACAAACATATGCATATGTATTCTTGGTCAGAAGTTTTCACGGACACAATGGCCAAGCTGGAGATATTTCATTGAATCAATTAACGCTTGGACATGGCATTATAATTACTGTCTGCCAGCAGACACAACCAGACAGACACACAGCTCAATCCAACACACACACACATACAGACACAGAGCCGGACACAGGACCCATTCCAGGACAATCCACCCACACACACAAGCAAGGTCGCCCCGAAGCGACAGAGCAGCAGGGACATGTTCATATCTTCATTGATAACCCCGTTGAAGGGAAGTGAAGCTCATCCTGGCCTCGTTGCTTAACCAACTGTAACAGTCCTGAGCCAAAGGAGAGCAACAGAGAGGCAGAAGGTTGGCAACAAACAGAGAGGCAGATAGAAAGAGAGATAGAAAGACAAAGAAAGAGAGAGATGGCCAGAGCGAGAACTTATGCAAACAGAAGCCGAAGGATGCAGCTCACACACACAGACGCACAGGTAGTGAAAAAAAATCTACATTATGAACTTGATGTTTATTTAATTTAGTTAAAGTATATCAAATTATAAAACATTAAGAAATGAAATATAAATATTTATATATATAATATTTAATAGTATATTTTGAAAATTATTTAAGAATCGTATATTATAAACTTCAATTCAAGTACATACTAAAAAGAAAGACTAACAAATTTACATTTTACACTTGAGGATTTTAACACCAAATTTATACATCATCGTAATTAAATATAAAGATCTGAGAGTTACAAAAACCAAACTTAACATTTCTTAAAGGAATATTTTAAAAATTGTGTATAATTTGAAATTTCAGATTAAAAATTGAGACCTTCTTAGCACATCAAAACTTACACAAATCAAGATGATACAAAATGAAGATATAAGTATATTATTACCGATCTTTGTTTAAGATATTTATATAATTTATAATCCTGAATTAAAACTGGAAAATTTCCCATGGAATGAATGTAATATTAATATTATTCATAATATTTATTTTTCTAAATAATCACAACGGACATCTTTTGATTTTCTTTTTGATAGTTTTCCTCTCAGGTAAAATATATCATTGTTGGATACAGATATTTTCTAACAAAACAAATTACAAATATAAATTATTTAAATAAATTTTTAGATACTTTAGTACACATTTTTTCCAGTGCAGCAGTAAAACAAAAATTTGCTCATATTAAAGCAAAATAATGAAGTGAAAATGGCAACAATGTGATTACACACAGTCATAGACCCAAAGCTATAATAAATTGTTCCGTAGGCGAGAGACAGGGAGAGAGAGAGGTCAGTGAGGGGCAGCAGGTGTGAGAGGGAGAGAGTGCTACCATCTGCGTCGGCGCTGCTTAAAATGTTGCCAATACACACACACAAACGCACCATGCAACATGTTGCTAATGTCTAACTTGTTGGATGCAGCAGCAGCTGCCCCACTTCATTAATTTCTCCCCATCATTATACCGTTTTTCCCCGCTTTTCCGGTGTAGAGGAAAACTTTTTTGCTCCCCGTCTCGTGATTTGTCTGGCAAACAATTTCCGAAATGCGATTGCTTAAACGCAATTCGAAAAGTTATTAATTGAGCAGGCTCGTAATGAACTCATTTACAGTACGTAATGTGCCCCCATTATGGGGTATGGGGCAGCTGTGGACTCCACTCGATGGCAACATTACGCCGCGTTAAATGGCTTGTAATGATGACTCCAAGAGGTTGGGTGTATAAGGGGGAAGGGAGGGAGGGAGGGAGTAAATAGGGCTAGATGTGTCCAATCACTCGAGGGGGCAGGGACTGGGAATGGAACTCGGGGGCAAGCAAATGTCAGACAGCGTTTCTCCATTTGCCAACCCCGTCTCGATATGGATATGACTGTTTCTAATGGACAATGGATACATACTCACACTCACAACACTCACAACACCCACACACAGACAGACACACTCACTCACTCACGATTTGTATCTTATCGAGTGTTTCGAACAGCAAAACTTTAGCCCCGAAATGGGATTTGCGAAATGACAAGTTATACTCGGACTACACGATGATAACATTTCACTCGTATTATGTTTTATTTGAGATCAAAATATCCCTTAACTTCTTATGATTTGTACTTCATGGCATACTGAAAGGGATTTCTGTTTCACTAAAAGTTTGCAGAAGATTTGAAAAATAACTATTTAATTGGATTTTTTCCTTTGGTATTAACGCTTTAAATTTGAGACATGTCCTGCAATGTACAAGCAATTTTACTCACTAGCAAACGACAAAACACTCTGAGAAGCGCTTTGCATTTTTTCTCTCTAATTAAAATAACCTGAATCCAAATAGAAACAAAAACATAAGGTTCTATATCAAGTCAGAGAATTCTCTAAGGTTTTGTTCCGTTTAGTCTTGAGAACAAACTCAAAAGAACATCAATTTGCCTGCACAGTACAAGCAAAATTAGTTCAAAGTCTTGACTCAGAAGCGAACGAAAAAATTCTCTCCAAGCGCGTAATGATTTTCATTCGATTTAAAATATGAATGTGAATATATCTACATATATCGTTCCTTAAGTTTCTTCCTTTTAGTCTTGGAACTTGAAGGATTACATGGGTTGAAGCAAATATATAAGCTCTGATTTATACTTATTAAATAAAGCTATACTTATAGATATACAAGAAAAGTATTAAGTCTTCAAATTATACTTAGAAATTTGTAATATATTAACACTTAACACACCTACATAACTCTATTTTTTTTTACACCTCTCTCCATTGGTTTGGAAAACATTTTTTGAATTTAAGTAGGCTCCGAAAACAACACAATACTAAGGCAGACACACAAGTTAACTCACAACAGAACACAACAAACCCGTATACTGAACACATACCAACATCGTATCGTTCTGTAAAAACCATAAAAATACTTTATTTTTAAGTCGTATTATTTGTTTTAGTTTACATACGCTTTCGGCTACTTACATGGAAGAATTTCTAAATATCGAAGAAAGAGATAGGGTCGCAAATCAACAGAATGGCGATGCGGCCGCCGGGGATGCTGGTAACGATGAACCGCATGAGCTGAGGCGAATCCAAAGGCGAATCCATAATGCGCCGCTAGGTCCTGCTGTTGTCCAGGTGGTGCAAGGCTATGACGGCCAGGAGCGACCATTGAGGAGGCCGCGGAAGATGCGCAGCATCTTTACCATGGCCAGGAAGACAACGCTCCTCGCCGACCTGTATCCGCCGGAGACAGCCACGCTATTGATCAATGCGAAGCGGGTGGCGATGCAGTCCGTTGGCGAGGAGCAGAGGAGCGAGTACTTTGCCAACTACCTCGCCGAGCACATGACCAGTCAGAATTATCCCAACGGCGTTGGACTGCCAGATCGTTGGGGTCAATTCTAATTGGCCGTGGTCTGTGCGAGGCAGTCAACGTGGCAGACAGCAAGGATATGGGCAAGGATCGAGCCTTGGGTGTGTAAGCCAAGAGATGTTGTGCAGAGATTCATACAACAGGTAAGGGAAATGATTTCATATTTTATATATTGATTTAATCCAAAAATTCATAGATATTGCTCCCAACTTTGATGCAAAAAAAAGAAAAAAAAAAAAACTACATAACTTCAGGATGCCGAAAGCTTATGGTAACTCAAAAACACGGCTTTGTTGACTTCTGATGACTTGAACCAATATTCGAACTATCCGAACACGTCTGACTATTTTCTCAACTCACGAAGAAAGGAAACTTAATCTTAAGGGACATCTCTAACTCATTACTCATTACTCTTACTTACAAGCTAGTGGTTGGCTATTTATGTGGGCTCAAGATTACTCAATAAACAAACACTTAAGAGAGGTTTCAGCATGATATATAGTTGTTTAATTATTATAAAACCATAAAACCTTTAGAATTCTTCACAAAATATGAAATTAATAAATACAAAAGAAATATTTTACATTTTTTGTGGTAAGTTCTTGAAATCCTTTTAATTTAAACCTCACTTGCAGGCATCTAAACCATTAATAAAGCATTCACAGATCAAATAAAGACTCACTTTTCCACTCTCCACTCAAACACACATACAAATCAAAGTTTTTGATTTTGATTTGGTTGCCTAAAGGCTACCAAAAAATTCATGAAATTGACAATTAATAAACTTCAAATTGGTAGCCGCACCATGGCACTTCACCTGCTCCGCCCATTTAGAGTCCTCCCGAAAACAAAGGATTTATAGGGCACACACACGCATATGGATACCAATTGGCCACTGACAATGGCCACAATGAACAAATGGGTGGCAAATGGTAGACAAAGGCCGCCACCCAAAACGGACAATTGCCCAAAGTGTAGCAAATAAATACAAAATGCAAAAGATAATTGCAATCAAAGCCACAAAATGTAGCCAAAAGGCTTATAAATTGTGGGTTGTAGCGTCATAAGCCGCAGGGATGGGTCTATTTCCAGGGAATATGATGGGAGAGGGGGACACATTCACAGAGTGAAGGTAAACGTATTTAATTTCCTAAATGTGCTTCACATACCACAGGCGGCACAAAGATACACACACACACACACATTTCGCATTCCATATACAAATATACAGTGCAGTCAGTTGCAGTTGCTGTTGCTGCTGTTGCTGCTGTGTTGCAGTGTTGCAGTTGCAACATCAACCCAACAGCAACCCCCAAGAAGCGCTGGCAATTTACGGCCATTATTGCAACAGACAGGCAGCTATATTATGTGCCACGCCCGCAACATAATCACTGAGAATAAAATGCAATTATACAAATATTAATGATTACAAAAATATGTTAATTGAAATATAATAAAATTATTATTGAAGGTTAAAAGCTGCTTAACAGCTCAACAAGGCTTTGTTCTTAGTTTCAAGTTGCTTCAAGATATATATAAAGTTTTTGCTTGTTAAAACCAGTTACTTTAGTATTTCTTCGTATTAATTTTAATCACCTTTTTCTCACAGTGCTGGCAATTTGTGGGGCGACCCTGACAGGAAGTGTGGGTGGAAGTTTGTTGCTACTGCTGCTGTTGCTACTGCCATAACTTTTTGTGGCTGCTTTTAGGCTGAGCTTTCGCATTTGCTTTTTGGCCGCTCTGTGATTTGGCTCTGCAAAATGGCAAATGGTGTGGCAAATGGTATTGGCCACATGCAACAATGTTGTTTTTGTTGAACCAAAACCGATCCAATTCGAGATACCATATCCGCACGCCCCCGCGCACCTTCTAATTGAATTGCATTGGAATCGAATTGAATTGAATTGAATTGAATTGATTTTCGGTTAGCTTTGTCCGCCTAATTGTTGCATTTACATGGGCCGAAAAGCATTATATAGTATACACAAGAATAAAATTAAACAAAAGTGTGGGGGCGTACGAAGCAGCAGCATTTAAAACGTAATTATGGCATGTTGCAGGCAAGGGTGGATTAATCAACCAAATGCCGCACACGTCGCAGAAACGCAGAACGTGCAACAATCTGACAATCGAGTGGCACGAGCTTTTCCCCCAAAATTTCCCTCCCATTTTCATCCATTGCTTGAGAGGGAGTTGAATTTGGAGTTGTGTATTTTTTGGGGGTTGTTTGACTGGCGGGCAAATGAATGCACGAAATGTGATTGATGCTCATCCACTGTTGTCCTTGGTGTCTTTGATCTATGACCATTGGAACAACCACCTTGGCCACTGTTGAGTAATTGATTTTTAACTCACATGACTCCCAAAGTTAGCCCTAAAACAAAACTGGGCGAGTTCGTGTACCTTGGCATGATTTCAATGTCGCCGCAATTCTTGTAATTTCTCCTTAATTATACTATGTACATATATACACACACTTAAGTTCGCATTAATTATTGTCACTGGGAATTCTCATGAAATCTTTCCCTTTTTCCCCCCTTTTTGGAAAAACTGTCCGGGATTTTGCCTACTCAGCAAAGTTTATGTACAAACAATTACAGCAACGCGGCAAAGCGCAAGAACTTTAACATGAAAATGAAGACAATTTCAAATACTCTTAAAAAATGTATAATGCTTAGAAAATTGAGTGGATGTACAGAGAAAAATAAACAAATGCTTCTACATTTTTCCTAGAAATTAGAAATCTTATCTTGGTATAAAATAATAAATATATAATAATAATAAATATATAATAATAATAAAATTATCTATTTGTTCTCTCAAAAACAATTTATTAAGATAAAAATGCTCTTGGAATTGTACGAGTTTTTTTGCGATCCCAAAGAACAAAATGCTTTTAAATTAATTTTAGTAAAAATAAGAGAAACATATGAATTTAAAAGAATAGAATAACATGAACTTGACTAATTTTAAATCAAAAGAATTATAAAATTATTTCTATCGTACCAAAGAGCTATTTTTAAAGATTTTATTAACAAAACAATAATATTAAAACCTAAATCAAATTATTTCCCGTGTAATCTGATATTATTTTTCATGTAATACCCTCCTGTGTAGAGTATCTAAGCTTCTGTATGACATTGACTGACTTACATATTTCGTTTTTATTCTGTTGTATTTATGGGGAAACGTGTGCAGAAACTTTTCCACTTACAAACAATTCACAAGTAAAATACCTTGACTTTTGCTGCCCATGGAGACTACTATTACTACTACTATTTTTTTCTTCTTGTAGTTTTGTGAGGAGGAGGAAATGTCTGCGACTTTGACTATGCCATTACCAAGGCTCTTATGGCCCCAGCACACACACACAAAATTGTTGGAAAATAAAGTCCAAGTACGCCAGCAACATAAACAGCAGCAGCAACATCCGCCAGAATGGCAAACTGAGCATCAGTTAAAGATACTTTTCGACATAAGAATAAGCGTGGGTGGGCGTGTGCATTCAGCAGACAAGACCCGATGGTTCCCCTGCCTGCAAGTCTTCTGTCTAAATACAAAACGAGCGATTTGTATTTGCTAGTTGGCCATGGCAACGGCTACTTGGGATCCATGGTAACACATCTGCTCGGAGTTTATTCTAAATAATCACACTCACTCCTCAAGTGAGGAGTGAGAACAAAAAAAGAGGAAGCTGCTATCAAGAATCAAAGATAAGTAGGACTATGGACTATGCAGTTAATGAAATTACTTCACTAGGCTTCACTCACTCACTTCCTTTTGGCATTTTTATGTCAGTGTAATAACCCAATTCCACGGTACTATATTATTCATTTGACTGCACCGACAACCGGCAGGAATTTGATGGAATTTCCTGTAAACAGGCAGCACACACAGAACACACAATCTATGCCCAGAGAAGGGGACCAAGATCAGGACCAGGACCCGGACCAGACACAAGACAGACAAAACTCGTATGAACAGGCTTATGAGCTGCTTTTGCACAGGAATTGAAGGAAGGTCTTCCTTCTATTGGCTTGTCCCAAGTCTTGTTGCTCTTTGTTGCTATTGCTATTGCCTTTGCCATTGCCGGTTAAACAAACAGACCAAACGCCACCACAGACAATCAGAAAGGCATTCAGCCAGAGAGAATGCCGAACACCAGCAGCAAAAAGCATTGCAAAAACACACAGAAAGACACACACATAGGCTGAGTATTATTTTTCATTCGAACTTCTTAATTTTTGTTTACATATTTTAGTAAATATCTGACATAAATGGCATCTGCTTCGACATGTTAGCAAGTTTATAGCAAAATAAAGAGTGACACAAAGAACTTGAGAAATTGATTACTTGATTTTGACATCACTTTTCCATAAAAGCTTTAACAATATATTTGTTTTTGTAGGGAAATAAATGAAAATATAGGTACATTTTTTCAGGGAATTAAAGTTTAATGGAATTTAAACGTCAATTCAGTGGTGAATAAATGCTTTTTTAATTTATTGACGTATTTTCAAGTGGAAAATCCATCTAAAGGTCATTTTTGGCTCAGAAATTTATTGTACAATTTTAAATTTAAATTTTTAGATTCCAATCCAGGAAATCGCAGTAGATTCTTTGTTGATATTAATAGTGATTTTTCGTGATGAATAGCAGGTAAATTCATTCTTAATTTATTGGTAATTCCTGTTGTTGAATTTATATTGAGTGAATACATATGTAATTATTGGTAAAATTTCAGGGTATTACATTTTCAGTCGGCAGCTCGTAACCCAGTGAAGAAATCGTTTCCGACCCTATAAATCATATATATTCTTGATCAGCATGAAAAGCCGAATCGATCTAGACATGTCCGATTGAAAAAAAAATTGCAATTTTTTTCAAAATTTTAATCGATAAAATTGTCATTGTTCAAATTGTGAAAAATTTGACAAAAATTAAAATTAGTATTTTTTTAAAATCCAATATGCATACTTTTTAACTTTACAAAAACTAGCACAGATCAGCAATCCGACTTAAAATTAATGCATTTTTAGCTGAGTTATTGATATTTGAAAAAACTAGATTATCCTTAAAATTAGCATATAAAAATATTTATTTAATATACATACATACATATGTACCTAGAATACACTTATTTTAGGGTTTCTTGTAAGTATACGAAGTCCAAGAAGCTTATGATTGCCAAAAACTATATATATTTCAATTTGATATCAAAAACTTAATTAATCAGTAAAACATTTGAAAAAAAATCTGTAAAAAAATCTATTTCACACTCGAACCCATAAACCTATGGATAACTGAAAGGGTATACACACTTCGGTTTCTCGAAGTTAGCTTCTTCTCTTGTTATTATTTATTGTTATTATTAGTTTTATTATTGAATTTATTGATAACTTTAATAAAATGACTTTTAATTCGTAAGAGTATTAATTATCAAATTAATAAATAAAATTAATAACATATTGTACAACTGAAAAATTATACCAATT